TTTTTCTTTATCCTTTTCAATTTACAGGGTATTTATCGTCAATAACAGTGATTAATTCTCTTGTTGAACTTGAAGGTTGTCCACTCCTATTACTATTTGAATTCATTACCTAAAAAAATTTAGGACAAATCTTCCATCTTTATTAGTAGGTTTATTTTAGAAATTTTTTTTTCACAATTTTATTGATAAATTTCTCATTTCAACATACATTTTTTTTAACAATCCTAACACCAAAAAGATATACAGAAAAACAATCCAAACGGATCTAAAGTTGATTGGAAGGTTAACATACGCGGTTGTTGCTACAAAATTCAGTAAAATTAACATTTCGAATACTACATTACACACTAGTGTATCAATAGTGGGGGGAAAAAGTCTAAGCATATTTTATTTAGGACGATTGGAGGAAAACTGAATCAATGCACTTTCGAGACTTCAAAACACCCAAAAAAAAAAAAAAAAAAGCAACAACAACTTATGACATCTTGAGCAGGAAAGTATTGATGTAACAAAAGGTGGCTTTTAAATAATTAATTCTTGGATATCTCAAAACGGCTGAACTCCAAGAATTAACCTTTTTTAGAAAAATAATTGTTTATTTATCAATGGAGAAAATATATTTAACCGAAAGAACCTTCCAAATCGGCCAAAAAAAATAATAAATTTCCATTTGATCTCATAATAATAAAATTTGAAGAACTGCATCTCTTATATACTCCATCTGATGATTCTCTAGTTTAGATTTTTATTTTTGATTCAAATTGTACTGAAAGTAAAATCTCAAATCAGATAATAATCTTGGACAGACAGAGTATTAGTTAACGATCGATTTTGTTGTGTAATCCCTTTTACCCTATTAAAGCAGAAAACATGAAGCTTATGTGGCAACTACGTATGCATCTGTTTTGGCTCCAATGCACCATATTTCAGATTTCATGAGTCTTTTTGCCACGTGTAAGTCTTTTTTAATTAGAAGTTATATAATTTTTTTTAAAAAAAAACACACATGTTTTACTACAATAAGGATCAATTACATTTCAAACGAATGGATATATTAATTCAAATTCAAATGTCCAATCGTATAGTTTTGCAGGCTTAATATAAACAAAAAAATAAAAATACCTAAATCCAGCAATTAAGAATAATGCCTTATAAACTAATTATTTATTATTCCCTTATAACCTCATATTTATAGGTATATTTTTTAAGCCCCACCCATAGCATAAATGATATATACGCCAAATTAATTTCTCAAAAAATAGTAATTCAATTAGATTTTAATAAAATAGTAATTTAAAAGGGGCGCCCGGACATCTGCCTGGGCCAAACATCTAGTTTGTATTACATACATAATTGTTTCTTTTCTTTCTTCCTTCCTTGCATAGAGTCTATAAGGCATTTTCTCATTTACCGAGTCCCAAATTTAAAATAGTTCTTAAAAAAAACATGTTTGCTATCGTAAATAATTCAATAAAAAATATGGTGTATTTGAGACTGAAGAAATATCAAAATTGGTCTCGTAATTAAGTTTTGGAAACTTAATCTTAATGAATAACGTTCAACACAGCTTCATATATCCCTTTCACATCTTCCATTCCAAAGAATGATTTCTATCTATGTGAAACATAAGGCTAGTTATTGAGTTGTTTGTACTTTTAGGATTGCAAATAATGCTTGGTCCCTCTTGCTGCTACATCATTAGTCAATTCCTAACCCCAATTATTTATTTTGGAACTCAATTAATTAATTAGACACTTCCATTTGGATCCCACACGTACCCCATAAATATTAATCCCACTTTTTCATCAAAAGTTTAATACTTATTATATGCATCTCAAATTTTAGCCCTACTAAGGTCATATCCAAATTATCCATCAATATAGTTGATCAACACGAAACCATCACAAGAACGCTAAGAGCCATGTTTATTACTCTGTCTGTTCCATAATTATTGTCCAATTTGAGTTTTTATTTTTAGTTCAAATTGTACTAAAAATGAAATCTCAAACTGGACAATAATTTTAGGATAAAGGGAGTATAGTTAGATATAAAAATTTTCTTTTGAAATATGAGTAATATATAATCACTTTTTTTTGCATTACTCTTCAGTTGCATAATCAACATATATTATAATTAGGGAATATGGGATTGGACTTGGTAGTCCTCCCACATGATTCTCACATGCTTCTTTTTTTAATTGTTTATTTAAATTTTTAGTTTTTTTTTTTCTTTTTAAGCCAAACTTAGTGCACCTATTCGTTTTTCTCTTGTTATATTTATCGTAATCTTTAATTGAGATTGCTGAAATTTTCATTTATGTTCATTTTCTATTATTTATTATAAAACGTTTCAGTTCTTTTCATCTTCCCTTCATTTTGTGTTCTTTTTATGGAAGTTGTATTTTTCATCTTTCTTAGTCTTTTGTTTTTAACTACATTATTTTTTGTTAGTTGTTTCATTTATTTGGAGTCTTTTAATCTTCTATTTTAGTAACCATTATATTTTACTAAAACTATTTAAAGATCATATTTTATTTGGAGTCTTTCATTTTTCTATTCACTTCTTCTTACTTATCTCTTATCCAACTTTTGTCTCTTTTTTTCTTATTTTGCAAGTTTATTTTGATTTATTTTTCTGACAACCCAATTGGAACTTTAATGTGCAAGTTTTAGCTAATCACGAACATGAAGATAAGTTGCAAGATTGAAAAAATAACGTTGGTTCTAACAGAAAAATTTAGAAACATGAATGTATTCTTAATTTTAGTAAAGTTTTAAGTCTTTTATACTTTATAATTTGTAAGTAATAGTTAGTGATGTATTTTATAAACGTTTTAGCTAAATTTTTTGAACAATGACTCATCTCTATATACATATTTTTTTTAAACCTGCTTCGCGCGTATGATTCATCTAATAAAATATAAATGCAGAAAAATGAGAAAAACGAACATACGTTCTATTATGTAGGAAAAGCGATACGTAACATCTTAAAGAAATCAATTCTCTAAAAAAAAGAATGATTTTTTGTAGGAGACTTTTTTCAGCACCCAGAATTGAGAAGTTAGGTGTGCAATATCAATCATCAACCATCATAATCTCATATCAAAGCTGTTACTTTGACTCCACAACTCTTTAGTCTTTCTCTTTGGCCCCAAACCCTTCTTATTCATTCATCCACTAGAACTAAAAAAGCAAAAATGTTTTTAGAGCTACTTACATCGTCTTTATGAGTTGTCCACTAATTAAATTTATACATTGACCCACAAAATTTTTCTTGATACGATTTTCCAAAAAGAATAATCAGTTCTCAGTAATAATTACAAAAACTGTGAAGGTTTTAATTATTTAAATACATTATGAGGGCAGAAGGGGCGGTAGTAATAATTAATTTATTGTGGATTAGCATTGTCCTTAATTAATTAACTGCCACCAGAGAGATTCATGATCTTAGGTGGAGATCCAGTCCAGGATCCAGCCAAATGAACCCGTTTATTAAGGAATAACTTGAAATTCCAGCAAGATCACAGCCCACACAAAAGGAAGAGTTTGACTGCTTACTTAAATTTTGACCAATAGGCCGAATTTGTTCTTATTTTTTCCTCTGAGTATCAAAAATACAGTAAAAATAGATATTGAAATGAGATAGCGACTAACCAAAAATCAAAATCAGAAAGACACATTATTTATGAAATTATAACATTTTAACTTCATTAGTCTATATGGTCTACTCATAACCCTATAATTGTACATTTGCAATGGTTCTATCCCTTCTTTTTTCTCCATTTTTTCTCTTGAGTTTTGGTATGATCCGCAATCAAGAACCAAAATGCCTTGAATCAGAAGCAGCAGCAGACAAGTATTGCATGGAATAGACATCTACAGCTGGATTTTTTTTTAAAAAAAAAAAAATGTACGAGGACAATGAAGTAATTATTGGATGAGATGAGATTCCATTATTCTTTGTGTTTGTGTGTGAGAGAGAAATGAAAAATAAGAAGAACCCTTCCAAAGGGAGGGGCTTAGTAAAAGAAAAAGATTGTACTGACAACAAACTAATAAACAAATCCATGAAAGAAATTGAGGAGTAAGTAATCCACTGTAGCCCACCAATATGAGTGACCATGGTAGTCCCTCCCTCTTTATCCTAACTAGGAGCAGTAGTATTCGAATTCGATGAGGATGAATATAATCTTACACCATACACAATGTAGATTGTAGAGTGTACACTACTAAAGCTTTGTTCCAAAGGTATATTTTGTGCCTTCGATGTGACTTCCTGTCTCAGTTATAATGTTTTCTTGTGTGTATCATAATCAAAATAAGATTATCTTATGCATGTTTATCGAAATATGAATAATATTTTTTCCGTCCCAAAATTAATGTCTAATTTGAAATATTACTTTTAATATAATTTGAACTAAAAATGAAAATTCAGATTAGACAGTAATTAGGATGACGGGAGCATTCATTATTGTATCTTCGTATTTGTTATTAAAATTACGTAATTTTAAGAAAAATGATGCAAAAAACGATGCACGTAACAAAACCGAATTATAGTGCTTTGTTTCAATTCAACACGAATAACTTTATATATTTCATATTGATAATTTGTGTTAACGATAGCGTAACATCAATATATAGACGTGTCACAAAAAATCTGAGTCGGATTTCTTTTGCATGGGGTATACGACTGGACCCTAACATTGTGATTAGCCGTAGATACTCAAGAACGTTTGATTTGGTGGGGACGATAGGGGAGGAGATGAACAGTGAACCTCATGGGATGTGATGGAGCTCAGGTGCACATAATTGATGTTCTCAAAAGAATTGTTGGGTTGGTTGGCACTGAATAAAAAATATGAGTGTGTAACAGCCCAGACCGGTCTGTTAGAATAGTTGGCAAAATGTGTCAGTAATTATACAATAATTTAACCCAATTCTTTCTTTTTTTTTTCTTCCCTTACCAAAAAAAAGACATCAAAGCAAAGCTTGGCCTTCAAGAGAAGAACCAATCAAACATACTAAAACTGAAAAAAAAAAAAAAAAAGGGTTCAAAACCTTAAATAAAGCAGATAATGTGCTTTATATAAATGTTATTAAAATGGTAAAAAAGAAATTACTTACAAAGAGTAAAGTATGGGGAAAGATTAGGTTTGTGTAATAATTTAACTGCAAAAAAGAGCAGTTGGCAGTAGTAGTAGTAGTTAGTCAGTCTTTTAAAATCATGTATACATGTCACCTGGTTAGCTTGGGCAGGTAACAAAAAAGTAGGCTTCTTTATCACCCTTATAGCCTCATTTTAATATCCCTTTAAATTTTTTGTCAAATTGTCATCGATCTATATAGATTCATTCGTGCTTCTTCTCTCACTGTTTCTGCTTGAACCCATTAGAGTTTAGTTGGTGAATTTGGTTCTATTTTTGGGGAAAATTTAATTTAAAGCTATACAAGTTAGAAGGGTCATCCATCAATGACAATGAAGTAACCCTTTTAAAGTGTACTGAACTCTGCCCTGATTGATACCCTCCTGCAATTTGTTTTTTTTTTTGGTGTTGCTCCACAGTAAAATCAAAACTAGAAATATGGTGCTTTTTGGGTAATTTTGTAGCTTCGGTATCAGAATATGCAAAAGGGTCTCTGCTACTGTTCCCCTTCTTGGATTCTTGCAAACGTTTGATCGAGTGTTTCGTTCAAATTTCAAAAAGCTTCGTCCTTTGAGGCTTCTTCTGACTATAACTGGTAACTATTCCTGAATTAGGCCTTTTGCTCATGCTCAATTTGTTTAATTTTGCAGTTCTGAGGGTGTTGTGATCCTCATTGTTCTGGGTTCCAGTAGAATTAAGCCTTGTTTATGTAGAATTACTCTGTTGTTATTCCTAGGATAGTAGGATGTGAATGGTACATATCATTGTAAATAGTAAGGCAATAGAAAAGAGGGGGAAAAAAAGGGAATCTGCTTTCTTTTCATTGGTCTGGTGAGCTGTTATTTAACCAATGCCTTTCATTTCTTCATTGTCTACTTTATGCTCTGAAAGGTTCTTACTTTCTTGTCTCCGTGAATTACTTTTTTTTTCTACATTAGAGTAGACTTGATCCTAGGGTTCTTGGAAGATGAGGTAAGTAGCTGGTGCTACGTAGATTTCATGCCTGATACATTGGATTTTTCCTTTTTCCTTTGTGTCTGAAGGATACTTCAGTGAGAGATTTTCTTTCTTTTGCTTTATGATGAGCCCCTCTTCCCAGTCCTGTAAAGCTGCCAATTTTATTTGTTCCTTGTTGAGTCCTGCAAGAAATTACCAGTCATAATTTTGGTCAAACGTAACTTTGCCTTTACTTAATTGCGTCCTCCTCCCTTTAAATATAAATATATCCGGTCTTGGTTTTAGGTAAAATTTGAACCTGGATAACTGAGAAGGCCCTCTCTTTGAAGGTGCATTTGGTGGTTGAATTCCACAAAATTGGGGGTTTTTTGATTTGGTGCTTTGGACTACCATGGGAACCGAGGATAGTGGTGATATGGGATTTCAGCAGAGTGGTGGAGACAGTGTTTTGAATTGCCCTTCTTCTGGGATGGACACAAATTCAATGTCTGACAAGGTTGCTGGAATGGCAATGTGTTCCGAGAGCACCATGTTCAAGTCTTCAACAGGGGTAGACCCTTTCTATGGTTCTGGTTGGGACCCACTTGTATCACTGAATCATGGTGAGAATTTTGGTGGTTCTACAGTTGTTCCTCATCACAATGAGTTTGCCAATTCGCATTATCAAGTTGCATTTCACAATCAGGCCATCAGTAGCTCTTCCCACCTTGTTCATTATCAATCTAGTTCAGGTCTTGGTGATATGGTGCCGAAAATTCCATCTTTTGGTAGTGGAGGGTTCTCAGAAATGGTTAATTCTTTTGGGCTTCCTGAGTGTGGACAGATTACAGAAACAAGCATACATCCAATATATGCTCAAAAGAGTGGGGTTGCTGGTCAGGAGAATTGTCAGATTTCCGATGAGAGAGTTTTGGGCAATTCACTAAATGGAAAAAAGAAAAGAAAAGCATCAGATTCTCCATTAAACCCCAGGAAGGTAAAATTCTTGTAATGTTCAATTTTTTCTTTTCTGTCAGTTCCAGCAAACCTATTTCCTGCCTTCAAAAATTATCGGCCCTGAGACATTTGGCGTGTTTGATGTTATTCAAGAATCCTGAAGGAGAACAACAAAGAGATCTCTCAGGGAACAGTTCAGATTGCTCTAAAGAACAAGATGAGAAGCACAAAATGGAACAGAGTACGAGCTCAAATTTGCGCAATAAGCAAGCTGGTAAACAGCAGGTGAAGGAAAGTTCCAACAGTGGTGAACCTTCAAAGGAAACTTACATTCACGTGAGGGCCAAAAGGGGCCAGGCAACTAATAGTCACAGCCTTGCTGAAAGGGTAATGATTTACTATACTTTCTTTGAATTAAGACCTCTGTTGCTGCAATAATAATCAACATGTACTCAGTATGAAATCCTTGGGGTTTGCAGGTGCGAAGAGAAAGGATTAGTGAGAGAATGAGATTGCTTCAAGAGCTTGTTCCCGGCTGCAACAAGGTATTTTTCTATTTGTTATCTGATTGTTCTTCGTGATGATGTGTGTACACATCATTGTTCCCATGTTTATTGAACTTGAAGTTTAAGGTTTTGTTGTTTTATCAATTGTAGATTACTGGAAAAGCAGTCATGCTTGATGAGATTATCAACTATGTCCAATCGTTGCAACAACAAGTGGAGGTAAGCCTTTCAGAAGGCAATAACTAATCTTCTAATTGTGATAGAACTTTGCTTGGAGAACTGAACAGATCTAATTCCGATTGAATCAGGAGGAGGTGCTTATGGTCATATATTACCTTTTTCTATTTTCCCAGTATTAAGTGATTTCTGTTTGAAGATGGTGAAGAGAGAGGTCACCCTGCTAGATATTGTCTATTTGTCTCGTCTGTAATTTTTATGAGGACTTAGAATTGGGGCATGTACTGTTCTTTAATTGTCTTTCCATTGCCTCTGAATCGTGTCATGTATACAACATGAATCCAAGGTTAAGAAAGATGATCATTGCAGTTTCACTTGGAATGCAAGTGAAACTGCAATTCTGTTGTAGCAATTTTCATTATGTTAGTATCATGTATAAGTGCATTAGTAGTCTCATCAAAGACTAGTAAAATTTGGATGGTGAATGTTTACTTGTTTGGAGCATGAGTGTATAGATATGCATCTTCTGAATTGATGAGGATTCTTTTACTCTATTGATGCAGTTTTTGTCAATGAAACTAGCAACCGTGAATCCGGAGCTGAACATTGACCTTGAAAGAATATTTTCAAAAGATGTGAGTAAAGATTAACTCATTGCTTTTCATAGTAGCATATTGTGTTTGGGCATATCCTAAGTATTATGTTCATTTTCTGTTCTGCAGATTCTTAGAGGTGGCAATCCCACAACTTTAGGCATTGGACCAGGAATGAACCCCTCCCATGCCTTCGCTGGGTACTCCCAGGGACCATTCCCCGGTATCCCAGGTGCAACACCTCCATTTCATCCCTTGCCTCAGGTACCATTATGTTCCTTTCAGGTGTTGTCTGATTATGTAAATTTTTGCCGGTGTAAGAAACAAAGTCATACGTGCACAATTTGTGTGCAGGGGGTATGGGACAATGAGCTTCAGAGCATTCTACAAATGGGTTTCGATGCTAATCCATCAATCAATAATTTAGGACCGAATGGTAATTGATTATGGGGCCTGATTCTAGTTAAGAAGCACTTTGTGGTGTATCTCATTCTTTTGTGCTGATTACATTGCCACCTATTTCAGCAGGGCAGTCGAAATTGGAGCTATAGAAGTTGTGGAACGACTGAGACGTGTTTATTATGTCCAACAGTAACTGCGAGATTCACCCTTTTGACTGCAGATTTGATATCAGTATTGAAGAAATGGAAAATAGCTAAAAACATTCTTGAGATTGTATAGGTCCTCCTCAGCTCCTAACCTCTTGTTCTTCGAATTTTAGCAGAAGAAAATGACCTTTTAGAATTACCGCCCCCTAAAAAAAGAGTATCATGCTTGTAAATTTACAGCACTACTTTCCGAAGTAGTGAAAGATGATTGTTTCCATTTTGTGTTATTTTGTAGAGTATGATTCATTTTGTGTAGCTAGTAATTTGAGATTTCCAGGGAGACAGTCATCTTGTTTAGCCTTTATCAATTTGGAAACACATCTATGGAATGTGATATACTATTATTTATTTATTTATTATTTTTCCTTGTTTTGTATGGCCTCCTTTTGACAAGTTACTATTTATTTTTCCAAATTCAAACATGCATAGTGATAACAAATTTTCGATGTCATTCTAAAAAAAAAAAAAAAAGGTCTCAATGGCACTATATATATATATTTTTTTTTGACAAATTGGAGTAACGAATAAATGAAATTATGAAAAAAAAAAATTAAATTATAAATTAGCAGTTGACGGATTACCCAAAGACTATCATTTGCAAGTGCAATTTTTGTGAAGAACTCCAAAGAAGTAAAAGGGACAAAAAGGGAGGTATTGTAGAATACCTCAATTTTTCTTTCTCATCTTCTTCCTCTCTCTGTTACCAGCTTCGAACCTGGGACCAAGTGAATAGTCAGATCGACTCATACCACAGAGCCACCAGAAAGGCCAGTGCCGTTAAGATACGGGACAAAACTATAACTACTCTCTCTAACAAAATTGTTTGAAATCTTACTTGTAATTCAAATTGTAATAAAATTGAAATCTCAAACTGTACTATAATTTTGGGACGGAAAGAGTATGTGTTTTGTTTTAATTTTTTTTCTTTATATGAGGAGAAAAGCATTCGTGAGTTTCTAAATCGACTCATGTTTGATTAGACTTTTAAACTTTTTAATTATGTTTTACATTTCAAAAGTATATATTTGCATTTTTAATTTAAAAAAATACACACTAGAAAATGTCCTCTTATTCGAGAGAAATGTTTTTCATTTGGCTTTTGCAGATCTTCTCAAGAATTTCCTGGAAATGCATTTGAGGAGCTTCGTGGCTTAATTCGGTCTAACAGATACATGTAAAATTTAAATTTAGCTGTTGTTATGGATGTTTGAAGAGGAGAAAATGATATTACCACTTTTATAGCTTATAAAGTATAAATTTAACGGAAAATTAAGTTTTCCATGTGACTTATAGACAAATTGTTCTTCCTAATTTTGGATTCAGAAAATATCTACATTCTTTATAATGAACAAAATTTTCAGTGTGCTATTGTTATGATTTTTTTTTAATGACGATTAAAAGCGGAGATATACCTTCGATTTTCTAAAGAAGAAGTTCTATTCTATTGCAATGCAAGATTATATCTCAAGGTATTGTTGTGGGAAGAGTGTCTTTTTAGTATAGCAAAAGTAATCATTTTTCTTGGATGATGGAAAGAGTCATTATTTTATTTGTTATTGTTCAAAATTAATTTTTTCTTTTCTTTTCTTCATAATTTTCGAATCAAAATTTTTTTACACATTTCTCTAAAGAACTTATACTTGACGTTTGTGGTCATTTCTCAATTGTCCTAGTCATATTTCATTTACTTCAAAAAAAGTCATGTTTATGAAATTCGATTATTAAAATAAATGCGATTCTTATTTTTGGGGGAGGGCAGAGTTGATATTTGACTCAAATTCTATTATATAAATCACGCAACGCAACACTTTCATTCTCCTAGAACTTTTTTTTTAAAAAAAAAAAATTAAAATTCATTCTCCACTACATGCATCAATATGTAAAAAGGAGGAAGTATTTTCTGTATTCAAACTTACATTTTAATTAATCTTTAAACCAAGAAATGAAAATGAAATTCCAAAAAATTTAAACAATCTAAAATTTCGCAGTAAAAACAAAGGAATGTCGTGGAAATATCTTATTTATCACAACTGAGACCGATTAGCCTTTGCAATATGGTCTACAAGGCTATAACAAAAATCATCGCAAATAGGATCAAACCTAATATGAGCAAATTCATTGGCGAAACGCAAACGAACTTTGTTCCTGGGAGAAAACTGGCAGATAATACAATAATATTACAGGAAGTGATCCACTCCATGAGATTGAAAAAAAGAAAAACAGGTTGGATAGCCATTAAAGTTGACCTTGAGAAGGCATATGACAGATTAAGATGGAACTTTATAAAAAATACGCTTACAGTAGCAGGCTTACCAAGTGGAATGGTCAGACTCATAATGGAATGCATATCATCTTCGAGTATAAAAATTCTCTGGAATGGAGGTACCACAAAAGAATTCAAGCCCACTAGAGGGATAAGACATGGAGACTCTCTTTCACCTTACATCTTTGTATTATGTATGGAAATTTTAGCACATGGCATTAATTAGGATGTAGACAAAAATGAGTAGAAAGGCATTCGCCTTAGTAGAAATAGCCCAGTATTATCACATATGTTCTTTGCAGATGACTTGTTTTTGTTTTCTGAAACTAATTTGGAACAGGTAGAAATAATTAAAAAAATCTTGGATTGTTTTTGCAGGAAATCAGGGGAGAAAGTCAATTAGCAAAAAACAAAAATCTATTTCTCCAGAAACACTCCCACCCAGCTAAGAAGTGCTATCAGCCAGGAGTTCGGATTTGGAATAACTCATAATCTAGGAAGATACTTGGGGTCTCCAGTTATTCATGTGAGAATCACGAAAGAGACATATAAAGAAGTATTAGACAAAATTAGAGCTAAGTTAGCAGGTTGGAAAGCCGACCAACTATCAATGGCGGGTCGTATTACATTGGTGCAGTCAGTTTTGCAGGCGATCCCAATATTTGAGATGCAGTCGGCAAAAATTCCTGCACGTGTGTGATGAGGTCGACAAGATGATACAGGGATTCATTTGGGGATCAACGCGGGAAAAAAAGAAGATGCATTTAGTAAGTTGGGACGTAGTTTGTAATAGAAAGGAGAAAGGTGGTATGTGGCCTTCGCAAGGTGAAAGAAAATAATATGGCCTTTTTTAATGAAATTAGGATGTGAGATTCAAGCCAGGAAGGAAGATCTATGGGTAAAGTGTTGAGAGGAAAACACTGTGATGGATGTCAAGGAAGGATCCAGTTTAAAAGAAAGAAGAATGCCACACCTACATGGAATGGAATTTGTGATGTCTCTCAACTAGTGGAAAAGGGGACTACTTGGGTCCTTGGGGATGGTAAATTGATAAAATTCTAGGAGTATAATTGGGTAGAGGGTATTGGTAAGATTTCAGAACATGTCTTGTTCCCCATACCAGAAACAGAGGCAAGCCAAACGGTCTCAGAATTTATTCTGGCGAATGGGGATTGGGACAGAGCAAAGTTGGTTCATGTTTTACTATAGGAAATATGCTCAAAAATTTGCAGCCTACCGCCACCAAAGCAGGAGCTAGGACCGGATCAACCAAGATGGATGTTTAACAAGCAAGGTAAATTCTCAATTAAATCGGCTTACTACTTAGCTATTGATGAATCTGTTTTACAGGAGGATGCAAGCTGGAATAAAGCATGGACTTGGGCGGGACCTCAAAAAATTCGCACATTTCTTTGGCTGGCCCTCCATGATAGACTTACAACAAACGAGCTGCGGATGGGTAGAGGAATAACAGATTCAGGAATGTGTAACAATTGCGGAATGGCGACTGAAACGCCACTACATGCCTTGAGGGACTGCTCTTATGCAAGAAACATCTGGGAAAGGTTGATACCCCCAAGCTGCCAACTTGATTTCTTTAATCTCCCACTGAAAGATTGGATCAAGTCTAACTTGGTTACAAAGGACCAGAAATGGAAGACTAAATTTGGGGTAGCTTGTTCGTTGATTTGGTTGTGGAGGAACAACATGATATTTAATGAACAGAGCATGGAGATCGACATGGCAGTACATACAGTCTTCCTCAAAGCAGAAGAGATACTTTTTAGTCAAGAGGTCTTAACTAGGCAGAAGATAAGAGGTGACGGAGACAAGGGGCTAAGATGGGTGGCGCCGCCAACTTCATGCATAAAACTCTATTGTGATGTCGCGGTCTGTAGAGAAACAAACATGGGGGCGGCCGGAGGAGTATTTAGAGATGACAGAGGCAAATTTGTCAAGGCTTATGGCCAGAAACTAGGCCAATGTTCAGTGGACACGGCTGAAATCGCAGCCATTAGAATTGGCTTAGAGATTGCCAAGCAATAAGGGTATCCCAAACTCCTTGTTGAGTCTGATTCACAAGCAGTCATAAAATTGTGCAATAGACTAAATGGAATCAGAATCTTGGATCCTGATTTAAGGAGAATTCAGGACCTTTTGACAGTAAACTGGGTAGTTAAATTTCAGCATGTAGATAGGAACAACAATAACTGTGCTGATACTTTAGCAAAACAAGCACTAGGCTTCAGAGAGGGCTTATATTCTTTTGATGTTGCCCCTATGTGTATAGGTTTGTTTGTAGAACAGGAGCATCTAGGACTCTGTACGTCTTTTGAACAAGGCATCTAGCCTTATAAATAGAAGATAATTTCGACCAAAAAAAAATTCCGCAGTAAGAAAAAAAGGATAAAAAAGAGAAGGTATTTTAGAGGGGGATGGATTTTTAAAGCCCCCAAATTTCGTACTCAAAGCCACCAAAAAAAATTTTGGACGATTTTGCCCCTGTCATTTAATACAGTAGAGAGAGAAAGAAAATGAGTAATTCAGAGGTAAAAAAAAAAAACTTAAAAAAGGAACCGAACCGGTCAAGAAACCGTCCCGGTTGAACCGGAGACGCGCAACAAACGCGTCCAGCCATTGAACTGGACGCGTACATTGCGCGTCCCCGGTTCAACCGGGACGCATGTGTTGCGCGGCCGGTCCGGGTGAAATCAGACCGGACACGCAAAACACGCGTCCCGGTTTAACCGGGGACGCGCAATATACGCATCCGGTTCAATGGCCGGACGCGTTCAACACGCGTCCCGGTTGAACCGGGTTTTTTTTTTGTTTTTTTTTTTAATTTTAATTTCATGCATGTTAAGTTAATTTATTATTTGTTAATTTAATTAGTTATGTTAAATAATTTAATTAGTTTAATTATATTTATTTATTGCATGTTATGTTAATTAAATTAAGTAGGAATATTTTTATTTTATTATTAATTTAATTAGTTATGTTAAGTAAATTAATTAGTTGAATTATATTTATTTATTGCATGTTTTGTTAATTTAATTAAGTAAGAATATTATTATTGTATATGTTAGTTTAATTAGTTATGTTAAGTAATGTAATTAGTTGAAGTTTATTTATCTATTTTGATTTAATTAATTAGAGATAATATATATTTAGGGGGGAATAATTAAATAATTTTGTGGAATAAGTAATTAATTTAGTAAATAATTAATCTATTTAATTAATCGCTAAATTAATGAATTCTAGCTTTTTAGGTAGGTATTGGGAAATTTAATTTAGTAAATAATTAATCTATTTACTGTAAATATATGTTTTTTTAATTATTTATTATAATTGTATAACTTTTTTAAATGATTGGAATATGTGTTTAATTTAATTTATTATGATGCAGTTTTTTATTGTTGTAATTTTATGTTTAATTTGCAGGATTCTTTAGAAGATTTTGGTGGCGATGGTGAAGATTATAGTATATTGTTTGCTACAGATGAGGAATTTGCAAAAAAGGATGATGCTGTTGCTTGGGTGAAAGGCATGGGCATGGCAAATGGTATGCTAATAAATGTAGTTTCTAGCAGGAAGAAGAATGCTGTTCTGATGAGATGCTCTAAAGGGGGAAAGGTGTCAGTTGATGATGGTGAATACTATGCCACATCATATTCGAAGACACAAATCACTGGGTGTAAATTTAAGTTATATGTGCACTTAGTGGATGGGAAGTGGCGCATTCGGGTGTATCCTGGTGAGTTTGGAATGCATAACCACGAGCTGTTTGACGAAGATCATCCCACGAGGGGCCTTAGTGATGGAGTGAAACAGCTTATACAGGGTATGTCCAAAGATGGGTACAGACCGTGTCAGATCATGGCTGTGATTGAGAGGATCTTTCCTGATGAAAAAGTTAACAGACGACAAGTGTACAATTTCAGGAAGAAATTGCGTAATGAGGGGTTCCCGGTATTGGGTGAATCGAGTGCCATGGATGTCGCGACGAAGACACTATCGGTGGCCAAGCATCATGGTTACATAATCATGACAGATTGCAAGCAGGAGACAGGTGTGCTGACTCGTGTATTTTTTGCACATCCTGATGCTGTCAATTTATTTTGCAGTTATTTCTGGGTCGTCGGGATAGACTCAACATACAAGACGAACAAGTACAAAATGCCGTTGGTTGAGTTTATTGGGATGACACCGTGCAACCAGAACTTCATGATTGCATACGCCCTCTTGAGTGACGAGACTGCTGACAGTTATTATTGGGCTTTGAGACAGTTTAGGGATTTGCTACCTGGTCATCTGTCTCCGACTGTTATTGTTACTGATCGGAAACCGGGATTGATGGTGCCGCTGGGTATGGTATTTCCAGATTCATGCCACTTGTTGTGTGTTTGACACGTTTATGAGAATGTAAAGCGATATCTCAACAAGGAATTGAAAATTGATGCCAAGATTGCAAAATGGTTTTACATATGGGTTGTGGAAAGACGTTGTGGAAGCTAATAATCAGGATGAGTATAATAAAGCTGTTGCCGTAATAAACCGTCGTTGGCAGTCTTTTCCGAGAGTTCTTACTTGTATCCAGAAGACATGGCTAGTGGTTGACTACAAATTCGTCAAGGCATGGACGAATGTTGTGTTTCATATGGGCAACACTACTACAGGTAGAGTGGAGAGCGCGCACAAGCAGTTAAAAACCTGGCTGGAAACATCCACGGCATCGCTGGATACACTTTGGGCTAAGGTGCACTTGGAAATTCAGAGTCAGCTAACCGAAATACGGTAAGTTCTATTCCATTATATTAGAAGTTATATTTATTATAATATATTTAGTATTTATTTTGTTTTTATGGCATTTTACGTAGAATGTTTTTTACAGTACGTGGCTACATTCATGTACAAACTGGAGTACTCAAGACAGAAAATTGGCACCCATTATTGCGGTTTTCCACTGAACCGCTTGAAGTGTCAAGTTTCACATACTTGTTTGCAAAAGTTGAACACTGAGTGGTCGAAGGCGCAAGAGTGGAAAGAAGAAACGAATGACCGATGCGATCATGTGGTGTACTGGACTTGTCGAATTCCATGTGCGTGCGCCCTCAAAAAGGCTGCAGATGCCGGGACATCGATAACTCTTAAGCATATTCACCCATTCTGGGCGACCCTTAATATCGGTGAACAGGTTGGTACGAGTGCTCCTAGCGATGTGGATGACGAGGTCCTTTATACCAGACAGTTGATGGAAGAGCTGAATGAGTGTCCTAAAGCAGTACGACGTACTGTAAATAGGGTTCTCCACGATATTATGCATCCAGACCAGTGTGGGTTCAAACAACCCAAGGAGGTCAAGAGAAGGAAGGGGTGGCCTAAGGGGGCTAAATCAAAGAAAAAAGCAGAGGCCAACACTCTTGCCCATGAACAATCCCCACAGAAAAAAACAACTCCTAATGTGTGGGATTACAGGGACGAGGCGCAAGGAAAGTCGACCACAGTTACTACCGATTCAAGTAAGAAGCGCCCCTCATCTTCAGGTGGTCGTACAGATGCATCCACAGGTACATGTTAAGAAGTAATTGTTCAGAATATTCTTTATTTATTATCAATTGTTCCAAATAACATTGTTTCCGTGTAATGTACAGAGATCTTTGCGAGTGATATTTCACAGTATGGTTGCTACGACCTCATTCCATGGCCCATTCGGCCATATATTACCAGTTACCTTGATGTTGGTGCCGATGGCAATTGTGGATTTCGTGTAGTCGTGAGTAACATGTTTTTGAGCCAGGAGAAGTGGGCGATGGCGAGAGAGGCAATGGCAAACGAGCTAGAACAGAATTGGCATCTGTACACTAGAATCTACGGGTATAAATACTTTTCATTTTCTATGTTATGATGTTTGCTGAACTTGGCAGTATTTTGCACAAATAATTGTATATGTAAATGCAGGACGTCCTTACAGGAAGAAGTCCGTCGTATACGGTGGAGTGGACAGGGTTTCGCACCTGAGCGCCATTGGATGTGTGTGACGGACTTGTTCGTAGTTGCGACTATAAACAATGCAATTGTGTACTATTACGGTGCAGGGGAAGAGAACCAGTCGCTAAACTCTACATGTTGGACTATACTACCTGTCACTGCACGCGGTGAGGCAACATGTCCGGCATTTGAGATTGGGGTATGTCACCATGGTCTTTACAAGCACTTCATTCAGATCAATTTGGACGGTGACTTTCTAGTTCCACCAATCAATAATCGGTGGACTAAGGAACATCAACCTAGCATTGCTGGTTGGGAATTATCACTTCTTCCTAGAATTCAAGATTGGTATAGGTTGGTCCTCAACAATCCTCGACAACCCGTGAATTTTGATAATGATTTCATTGATCTTAGTTTCTTAGATTATATCCATGTAGGTTTGTTTGTTGTGATGATGATAATGATATTATCTAGTATCTAATTTGTTTGTTTTTTATGATTTGTGCAATAACAAACCTTGTTTGGCCATAAAGAAAAAAACTTACTACACGGACACCAAATAAGCTAACTAATATATAACACACAATTCCATCATACCATAAAAAAAAACTAAATGCAATCCAAGAGAGAGAAAAACAAACAAATCCAGTCCAATAATACAACAATGATCATGGGGCCTTGTAATAACGGATCATCGTATCCTGCAGCTTCTCGTCATATTCGTCAGCCAGGTCGCGATCAGACACTTTGACCTTTCTAATCAGGTCTCTCGTCAGCTTCCTCAATTCATTTATCCACTGAAAACACAAAAACCAAAAAAGGTTAAACTATTTATAATATAGAAATGTATATCTACAAAAACTCAAAAAATTAAAAATACAACTTACATAATCCTGACTGCTCTTAGCTGGTAGAAACTGCAGATGGGTCAGTTGTCGGTAGCAGAAATGGATGTGAATACTGCCTGTACCATTCAAGGTACCTATCCTCACACTCTCCTACGATGTCACCGTTATAATTGTATCGCCATCTGGTCAAATTAAGACACGCTGACTCCGAGAATCTCCTCCAAGTACTGAGTGTGTCAACAGCAGAATCCTGGACAAAGTACTGGGTAGTCTTGGGTCCTCGGAATGCATCATCAGGGGACATGGGCGAACGAGGAATGCTCTGTACGTAGCCAATCTGACGTATACATCTGTCCGCCATGTATGGCTCCTGCATGTTCCTATACATTATCCACCCACTATAGATGGTCCTAGGAACTATTCCTTGTTGGCCAGGTCCAAATGGCTCCCACTTTACCTGCAAAATAGTATTTAGATTATTTATAAATATAATTTTCAAAAAAATAAAATGAAATACAGTCAAATGAAGCAATCACGTACCTCTAACTCGGTGAAACGGTCGAGACGCTCCCTAACCTGACGAAGATGATCTGGCACAGATGTCATGGTGGTATCCAGTCATGTACTCTGGGCCTGTCATTACCCCCACGGGTAACTCGCCCTCCCTGGGGGCGAAAAATCGGGAAATACTCGTATATCCAGGCTTGCAGTAGGGTCAAATAACCACCTAACTGAGTGCACTTTGCCCTACTAGCCATCCCTAACTGACGGTATAGGAACGCAAGCGTAGCAGAGCCCCACGAGTATGAACCCATATCCTCGATCCCAGCCATCAGCTAATGTACAAGTGCAACACTGCACCTCCCACCACTCTTGCCCATGAACAACGTCGAGGCCAACAATACCCACAAGAAAGCAGAGGCCTGGGTATTCTCGTCCACTTTCTCGCATCGCTCAAGGATGAACCAATCAGAGACACCGCCATGACTCCATTTGTAACCATTCACATCCAGGCCAAGTATCCCTGCTGTATGTCTCCTCAACAAATCTGTGTCGGACGTACCTGACACCAACTCTCCATCGACCCCAATGCCCAAAATATGATAAACATCATGCATCATGATGGTCATCTCCCCCAAACGGGAAATGAAATGAGTTGGTGTCCGGCTGCCACCTCTCAACAAATGCCTGAACTAAGCCAAGATCAATATCTTCATACGAGGTATGAAGAAGGCGACCCAATCCAATCCCCCGAATCTTGCCTCTCACTACATCATCCATATCTTTATACCACATCTTCAACTTATTCAGAATCTTTTTGCCTTTAAAAATCTTCAATGTGGGTCTATTGTATCCATGCCAGAAATGATAAGCAATATGCCCTAGGAAGCTAGGAATCACGCTACCATCTATCGGCCCACCAGGTACTTCATCTGTCACTAGCCATGTAGTCGGATCAATTTTATCAGAAACTCTCGACTGGCTGCTGCCGCCTGTACCATGAATGAGTAAGCCAAATATTGTTTATTACATTTTATACACATACAACAATTCAATAAATATAAGTAAAAATAATTAATTAAAAATAATTACAGAATATTAAATAATTACAACAATTAAATATAGATATTTGGTACCTGATGATGCAGTAGTGGTAACTGGACGTGTAGATACTGCAGTGGATCCGGGACCTCGGCTAGGGCCCATAGGATCAATGAGAGGGGGAGGACGTGTAGATACTCGAGCGGAGACGGGACCTCCGCGAGGGGGTACAGGATCAATGTAGGGGGAAGATGCCTGAGCGGGGCGGAGGGGACGAGGCTGACTACCGGTGGATATACCCTGTGGGAATTTACCCGGATGCGGGAAAGAGGGACTATGATATGGACTGCGCCACTCACCACTCATAGGAGAAGGGATAGGGATAGGGGGAGAGGGTAAACCGCGAGGACCAGGCCGGGGACAACTGGAGTACCGAGGAGGAGGGCAACTACTAAGATTGTACATAGGCGTATCTCTGTGATGTGCACCCATCCTAACACTGTCCTGCACATCATCCTCATCCTCCTCATCCTCATCCCCCTCTTCCAGATCGTCCTGAGAATACTCGGGTACATGTATCGGCTGACTAGACCGAGTTTGAAGCGGTACACCCCCCATAGTGACCTGAGTCATTTTCATTCGCTTCTTTTTCTCTTTTTCCTCTTTTTTCTTCCAACGACTCATGGTCAGATAACACGCACGAACCTTATGCTTACTACTATCTTCAGTATCACTAGTATCACTATCATCATCTTCATCACAATAAACCTATAAACAAAATTTTATTAATCGTCATCATATTTTCATAGTCTAAACAAATAATTATACACATATCCTAAATCCTAAATAGTTTAATAATTAAGTACAAATCATATAATAATTAAGTAAACTAAAGTACTTTACCAAATTTTTAATTAAATTACTATTTAATTAATGAAAAATACTCAACTATTTTGCAAAATATTTATATTAATTTAATTAATCATGAACTACTTTACACATAATTTAAATTAGCTTTACTAATCTACTATTACTTAAATTATAAATAATTTAATCAATTAAACTAATTAGGTAGTGAACTAATTTACTATTAATGAAATTAGTTTTTAATATTCAACTAATTTACATACTATTTAAATTAATTTAATCAATCAAAATGAGTAACTTTACTAATCTACTAATAATTAAATTAAAAATATAACCTAAATACTTTAATAACTAATTAAATTAATGAGTAAATCAATTAAACTAATTAGGTAGTGAACTAATCTACTATTAATTAAATTATTTTTTAAAATTCTACTAATTTACATACTATTTAAATTAATTTAATCAATTCAAATGATTAACTTTACTAATCTACTAATAATTAAATTAAAAATATAACTTAAATACTTTAATACTTTAATAACTATTTAAATTAATGAGTAAATCAATCAAACTAATTAATGAACTAATCTATTATTAATCAAATTAAATTATTTACACAATTAAATTAAATAACCAATCTAAATCACAAACTATTAATTAATAAAAAACTACTTACTAACCCTAATTACATTAAATCAAACATAATTAAACACTAACATTGTAATTAAACAAATTTAAAAAAAATTAACATTCTGGCCGCTGGACGGCGACGAAGGCGGCCGGCGGCGCGACCGGGACGCGCAAGAAATGCGTCTCGGTTCAACCCGGAACGAGCAAACCGCCCGTTCCGGGTTGAACCGAGACACGTTCTCGCGCGTCCCGGCGCGCCGCCGACGCCTTCCTGGCCGTCCGGTGGTCACACAACATTTAAAAAAAAAAAAATCCTTCCACGGACGGCAATGAAGCCGTCCGGCGCACGACAGACGCGCAAGCAACGCGTCCCGGTTCAACCCGAACGGGCATTTTGCTCGTTCGGTGCGAACCGGGACGCGTTTCTGCGCGTCCCGCGCCGCGCCACGACGGGTTCATTGCCCGTCCGCGCCGTAAAGTTTTTTTTTTTCTTCAATTCACAAATTTTTTTTTTAAAAAAAAAAAGTACCCGTGATGCGATCGACTCTTTCCCGCTTTGATTCTTCCGTGTTGCCATCAATTTTGGATCAAATTAGACTTCAAAATGGGGTTTAGAAGGGTGGTGGCTTCAAGTTTTCTCTCTTTTTCTTTTGGTGGAAGTTTAAAATGTGAGGGGCAAAATGGTTCAAAAATATTTATGGTGACTTTTAAATAGTAAAGATGGTGGATTCAAAAACTAACACCCTTTTAGAATACCTTTGTGGTACATGAGTTAAGGAAGCAACAAGGGAGTTTCATACCAACCTCGAACCCAGGACCTGATGGGTGCTCAACGACATGACGTACTCCATTCAGGGTACCCAGTGAGGCCGATGTCCATATTTCGCCACCAAAAACCTGTAAATTGCTCCACAGCAAATGCAGATCGAACTGTAAATTTGATCAGAAACAAAAATGGGGAGGGCCAAGAGGTCCAAGATTGTATGTTGGACATAAGGAATGGATCCCAATTGTAAATGAAGAAACCTCAGCCCAGTTCATGGGAACATAAGTTTGTTTTTTTATTTTGATCTAGTGAGGATTAATTAGAGATACATAATTATTAAGGACTATTTCATCATTTCGTATATCACAACAAAGTTTTTCTTCTGACCAAAAAAAAAAATCCACATTAAATGTTTGAGATTTGTACTATTATGAATTATTTTTTTGAGATAAAGATAGTGTAAAGGATACTGGCATCTTGTCTCGAATCAATAGTTAGTTAGTTACATTCAAATACATGTTTTGGACCCGAACACTACAAATTATATAAAAGAAAGAAATTAGAAAGAATAACTTGACGAGATAAAAACTATTAAGAATTTTTGAACTAAACCAAAATGTACACAAGATAGGCAAAAAAACCTAAACACTATTACTCTTGGGTCTTGTGAATTAAATTTAAATGTGCAATAAATAAGAGGTATTATTTTGAAACGAAGTGGCAATGGAACTGATTGAATAAATGCACTGTTTGATAGTGTTAGAACTTAGACGTGGATGCGGAATATGCACAGAATAATTCTTCCTAGAGGTGGCTTACGATGAGTCATGACTGCTCAAAGGAAAAAAAATTGACCAAAACCCGTGACAGAAACATCACTAGAAAGACGTTACAGCAGCCAACGGCACATGTTCCATTTTTGTTCTCTTTTTATTTGAACGGCTACATTGACTTGAACATTTCAACTTCAAGAATTCAAGTTGAAATTTTTTCAAGAAAGATGGAGTTTGGAGCAAAGAACATGGGTCGGACCCGATGGCCAAATTGAAGGGGTTGATTGAAAATTACTTAGCAAAATGAGTGTGGGTGATTCTTGAGAAATTATTCGCAGACAAATGTCACATGTGATTGTAATGTCAATTATTCTCAAGGGAAAGATATGCTAAACCAGCTAACTTTTGATTCGATGGACCATATACCCTTAAATTATCTCGCACACAACCCCCCTTCATCGTTGTCCAAAACCCGCCCCTTCATTGCTTAACTGCCATTTTGCTGTAGCTTTTATATGCATTCCAGAATGGGGGGTTTGCATCACAAATTTAAGAGGGGATTATTCCGTGGATTGGAGTGTCAATTTGTGGTACCGCATGATTTAATGTAAAAGAAAAACAATTTAGGAAGCTTATAATATTATTATATTATGCGGTATAAAACATGACAATATTTTTCACATATATAATACGAATAAAAAGATTACAACTCATAAAAACCTATCTTCCTTTTATTAACTGCTCTATATTACTTTCAATTATTGATATGAGACTCGATGTCTGTCTATTGGTGGCCTCAATATTTGCAACCACAAAATATGATCTAATTCAGACTGCGTAAATATTACATACTAGTTCAAAACATAAAGAGACAACACAAATATGAAGTAGCCAAACTACTGGAGTGACTCTAAAAAGTAAAAACAATGGATCATACTATGATTGCAACTTACAAGATTGGAGTCCCAATATATGACACTAAAATGGTTTAGTGAACAGAAGTCTTTTTTTTATGGGACGAGACATGTGTATTACAATTTACAAAAATTGTTGTTTGTTCTTTTGAAAATTCAAAGTGCCACCGACGCAAACAGTGTCAGGTCCATATTAAGCAATGAAAGTTCAGTTCACTTACCAAAATCTAGAGCGGAGAGAGTGACAGCACTTTATAAACTGAAGAATGACTGTGCTTTATATATACCTCCCTCGGGTATGTTTGCTTCGTTTTTTTAGTAAATTTTTTTAGGTATTTTTTGTATTAAAAATATAAAAAAGTGTATTGAAAATGTAAAAAAATATACTGGAATGGGACAGTTATTATTAAAATAATCTGAAAAAACCATAAAAAACCAAACAAACAGAGCCACGACAATGATTTTCTTACTTATGTGATATCTTCACAGTGCAGACAAATATTTTCTTCTGTTAATTCATTTTCCCAGAAAAAGGCAATCCAATCCTAAAAATTGACCACCTTTTTTTTTAACTCTATTTCGCCGAGGAAGATAGACGACGATCAATCAGAAACTTGCCCGAAAGAATAATATTACAGAACAACTACCATAAATCGGGTCCCCTGTCAGATCAGCATCCAGTCAAGCTATCTAAGAACAAGAGTACATAGAACGACAGAAATAAGAAAGACCATTCGAGAAGAAGCTTGTGATTTTCAATCAGATTTACAACAATTCAGAGAGCTACAGTGTACTGGGAGTACATCCCCTCTTGTGAAAAGAGTGTTTCTTATACATATGATTAATGTGAAGATTATTACGCAATCTAGCGGATACAGCCTGTACCGCCAGCTATTTTGACTGGTGATGACTAATTTCCTGTGTATTGATACTTGGTGGGATGAATTCTTCTTACAAAAGAATATACCAAAAAAAAAACCAAAGAATTCAAGAAAACTTATAAATGACCAAAAAGAAGAAAACCAAAAGAAGAAAGACAAAAGGCCTAATCTACAGCAGTAATGAACAGAACCCATTTTTTAAGTTGTGATGGCTTCTCATCCTTTTTCTTGCAGCAGCCACTTCTACAGGTCTTTCCATAGGCAACTTCCCTTTCTGAAGTGCGAAGGAGACACCAGGAGCCACGAGGTGGGGCATTTTTCACAACAGAATGTGGAGACATTATCAAGCCTGAGCCCCCAACAAATTCGAGCTCCTTTTCTTTCTATGTCCACTTATAAATTAACTTCATTATGCAGTGTGTATCCACATCCCGACTGTGATTATTTACTTCTGTTGTGAATATCCGAAGCATTTCAGTTAGTCAACCTGCTCGCCGATCAAATCCAATCCAACTAGAAGAAACGATACTCCTTGGAACAGCAAGAAGTAAAAATGGATTCCCTGGGCGGACAAAAGGCTCCTCACTGAAGCCGTCAAAAGAAGGCAGGCGAGAGCCAACTCTTTTGTATAAATCCTGTTGTGCTTCTTCTTCTTTTGGGACTTCTGTTCTTGTTGTTTGATTTCCTCCCTCATTTCATCCAAATCGGGAACTGAGGATCCCCTATGATGCTGCTTTGTTTCTTTTTCTTTCTCAACCAATGCGATTAAATCTCCCTCAGACGATCTTCCGGATTTCTTGGTGACAACCCATTCATATGCACTTCCTAGTTGGAAGAGGCCTGAGATCATTGCATTGAACTTGGTAACTGACATTGTGTTCTCAAACAGCAGATACGGCACAATGAAAGGGAATGACTTGGGTGCCGGTAGTATATTGAGAAAAGACATTGTAGCAGGGATGTAACAGACGACCCATGAAGGAAGTGTAGCCTCCGGAATGAACATGGTCATCGGAAGGATGATGCAAAACAAGGTGAAGGAATAAAATGGTAGAATCAGCTTTCGGAGAAGGAAGAATAGGAATATCATGTTGAATTTCTTCCAGACGCTGATCTGCATCATCCCAAAAGACACAAAGGAGAATCAGTTTATCAACCAAGTCCAAAGGAGGCATTAGATAAACCATGAACATTGAAATCTTAGACAAATTAGAAATAATCGATACCTTGGCTTGAATAACAGCAGGCAAGCATAGACGAAACAACTGCATTGGACCAGAATGCCATCTATGCTGCTGTTTCCTGTACGCTTCATAAGATTCTGGCAGTTCACATTGGCACTGTGGATTCAATAAAATTTATTTCAATTCACTGACGATTATCAACATAAAGGAATTCAGATGCAACTGAAGCGAAGGTAGTAAAGTACCTCAACATCATTGAGGTATACGAATTTCCACCCATGTAAATGAGCTCGGACAGCAATGTCCATGTCCTCCACCGTAGTTCTCTCCAACCACCCACCTGATTCTTCCAAAGCTTTTATCCTCCATACACCAGCAGTCCCATTGAACCCAAAGAAATTCAGGAAAATCCCATTAACCTGCTGCTCTACTTCAAAATGGAAGGCCAAATTGATGTTCTGCAACCTTGTTAGTAGATTTTCATCTTTATTTACAAAAGACCACCTTGCCTGAACCAATCCTACTTCCTCATTATCCTACAATTGGCAAACAGAGAAAGAAATATTGGAAATTATGATGCAATCAAAAATAGATAAGAGTTGCATGCACTTTTACTAGAAACAAACAAAAGTTTGATTACAACAGGCAAACAGAATTATTTACTTATGCAATCAATTGAACGGTTTTTTCTTGTTTCAACTCATAAAAAAACAAAGATAACTCTCTTTTAAGAAAATCAAGCAAAAGAATCATAAATATACTCCTTATATAATTAAGTTAATAAATTCTTTCCTTCTCAAGATTTAGCTCAGCAAACAGCAAATAAACTAGGAAGACAAAGTGATGACAGATACCTTGAAATGGGGAATTGTTCGCTGCAGAAAATCCGGGTTCGGCTGAAAGTCAGCATCAAAAATTGCAACAAATTCATAGTCTTTAACATAGCTACAATTCATGGCAGACTTGAGGTTGCCGGCCTTGTACCCTTCCCTAATTACTCTATGTCTATAGACAATGTTAGCACCTTCTTGCTGCCATTTGTGCACTTCTTCTTTAATCAAGGTCTGAGTAGTGGGATCATCAGAATCATCCAGAATTTGGACCAAAATTTTGGTTTTAGGCCAGTCTAGATTACACACTGCAGCAATAGATTGCTGGTAAACCTGTTCAAAGAAAAAAAAAAAAAAAAAAAAAAACAACTCTTTAACATCACCCAAAATTCCAGTTAAAGCAACAGTAGGAGAACCAGTAATCACCGACAAAATCAAGTAAAATTTTAAAATTCAGCAAAAAATTTTGAAAGACAAGACAATTTACCTCCTTTTCATTACACATAGGGATCTGAACTAAAACCATAGGAAAGTAACCACCACCATCGCCAGACTCCAGATCCGCTGAATCCAGCTTGGCAATTGGCTTGATCCCTCTCAAACGAATCCACAAACATCCCAAGCACAAAACTAATCTATCCACACTCTGAATGAGGAAGAGCAATATACAGGCATTTGTCAAAAACTGCAGAGGGGGAGCCAGATACTCTACCCTAATCATAATCCATTTCGAGTAAAGCGAATCAAACAAGCCCTTAACAGATAATGGGTTGGCCAGAGTGTACAGATACTGTAATTGAAGATCCGGAGCACCAAAGTCCCAACCTTTATAATACGCAGCTACTTCAAAACCAAGCAGGAGGATGGATAACCAAAGAAAAACCTTTATACAAGAGTAAAACCGAGACTTGACAGCCGGATTCTCAGAAGCTATACTGTCGGTGGTGTCAGTCCGGCCGGAAGCAACCCGGCGGCGGACCACAGCAGCAAGGCTGACCAATGCAGAAGCTATAGAAGTCAAACAACCAGCTGCTTTATGAGCCTTGAGAAGGAGAACCCAAGTAAGCTGCTTAGCATTCTTGTTCCGACCCTTTTCAATACTGTGATGGCGCATTGACAAATCATCAAGAAAATCATCCTCTGAAGGACCTTCAAGCTCAACCATGGACCAATTATTAGGGTTCTCCATTTTCACAACCACAGGGGTACCCCTATGGCTTTCTTTACCCCACCAGTCAAACGATGGTGCCATTGTAGGAAGAAGCTAAAGGGATGACAGCCCAGATAAGCTAAAACAAACAAAGATTGAAACTTTATAGGGAATTCAGGGCCTCTGCAGAGAGGCTCAAAGAAAAGGGATGAACTTCTTCAAGCTCAGAAAATTTTGTTTTTCAAATGGAACTAGCTCAATTGTTTATAAACAAAACCAACAACAACATAAATATAATGAACTTTCCAAAATGTTTCTATTATATCCCGTTTGGCATTTGGGAGAATGTGAGGGAAAAGAATAAAAGGAGAAGGACGCGTGGGATGTTTAGAAGTTGCTAGGCGTCTCTAAAACATGGAGACATTGGTAAGGGAGCTTATAAGGGAATGACAGATTTGAAAAATGTAATAGAAATAGCTGGTGGTGTTTTGGGGTTAAGAATGGGGGAGTAAGGAAGAGAGAAAGAAGAACTCACAACTACAAAAAGAGGCCAAACTCCACAATCAATTTACAGCTTGCAAAAGGGGAGGTTTTTTTTTTTTTTTTTTTTGCAGATGAAAAATCAAACTACAAAAGAAAATTTTATAGTATTTTTTTCACTATTCTCTTTTCTGTAATATTGTATTTGAGTGTAATTGTTAAGAGACAGACTACAAGTGTGGGAGATGGAAAATGATGTGAATGAAGACTGGAAGAGAGAGAAAGAGAAAGAGAAGAAATGGTAACAGCTCAACACGTCTTTGATTATGATTCCAAACGTATAGTTCAGAGTGGATGAAAAATCATAAAGAGAGAAAAAGAAAAATATAGCAGGAAAAATACACACACTAGATTGAAAGCACGTTCTGGGTCAAAATATCAATATCAAATCTATCCCTCAAAAAAAAAAAAACACCAAAATCAACAGCCCTTTTCAGATTATCACTGCAGAAACCAGAAAAATCACCAAAATCTGGAATCTAGGTTAAATTTTAGGGGTGATTCAAAAGAGGGGAAAAAAAAATAATTAGATCAGTTAAGGTGACAAAATCACAAAGGGGGGGGACTCCGACAAAAACTTGTGGGCAATTGGTTTTCCTCCAGAAAACCAGAATTTCTTCCTCTTTTTTTTTTCTTTATAATATTCCACCACCCACTACCTATTTTTCAATAATAATTGTAATAATGTACAACGCCCAGAAAGTTAATAGCAAAACCAGAAGAAGATAAAAATGTACAACAGCAAAAAATGCCTGGAGAAAGCTAGCCAGAATCCTATGATCGAAGAAGACGATGAAAAAGAAGATGAAGGAATTCAATCTATATAATATATATATTAAGTAATATCTCTTATACAGAGGGGAAATTGATATGATATGATAATATGCAAATAAATATGGAAATATTTGCATGGGATTGATTAAAAGAAAGTTCAAATTTTGACTGGATTATCTGTAAAAAAAAAAACTATAATTTCCGTGTATGAATTGAATAAGGGCAAATGGACAATAATCAGCCAAAGTGTTTACCTTTTTCTTTTTTTTTTTGTCAAAAAAACGGCGTTTTGGGATATTGATTTTGATGATGGATTGATGATGATCATAATAATAAGATTAAGAATAGTAGTAATTCAAAATGATGAAGCTTTTTGTCGCCATGCCTTCATTCTTTTTCACACACGGAGGTTAAAGCCAGCCATGTTGATTTTTGACTATCAATCCCCTTTTTGAGAACATTTTTCCCTGTAAATATGATAAAAGATGAAGGAAAGTAAAAAAACACACAAATAAAAATAAAAAATAACGAATATTTTTCCTTCCTTTTCTGTTCATTTTTGGGCATTTACAATATGAGATTAAGGAAGATTAATCGTGGCCGTCCTAATACGACCTAGTCAAGAATACTAGGTTTTAATTAGAAAAAAATAGAGATAATGTAATCTTAAAATTAGGGTTTTAAAAAGGCAATTAATACGTAGTAGTAGAAAACTTTCACGTAAGTTGTGGCACCAGTTTGCGCAACCAAATTTGGGCTTAATTTTTTCTCTCGTTAATAGTGCCACCAATATGTGTAAAATACATTTCATTTTGCTGTGAAAAGTATTTCAAATTGAAAACTAAATGGGAAATAAAAATATTATTTAGATGTTAGTTTTGAAAAAAAGTATTTTGAATTACATTTTGAAATATCAAGTACAAGTCATCACTAAACAATTAAATACTGTCAATTATAATCATTGCAAAAAAAACTTTTTCAAAAACAATCACTCAACAACAGAATCCTGCCAAATTTGTTACCGAACTATTTGTAGTTCTAAAATGGTCATTACACTAACAAAAAGTGTTTCAAGTTTGAATTTAAAATATAAATCAGAAAGTTGTTTGACTGATGTTTTCTTTTCCATTGAATTTTGTGTTTAAGAGATAAAATGAGACAAAATGCAAAATGAAAGGTTGGCCAAACAAAGCCTAGAAAATTATGGTCAAGTGAGTTCACTAAACGAATTTGATAAAAGTTAAATACTTAATCCCTCCATTTCAAAATGTAAGTCGTTTTATGTTTGGAGAAATATTTCAAAAAATGTAGGTCGTTTTAAGATTTCAAGACAAATTATTGGTTAACTTTTCAACTTTGCCGTCAATAAATGATACTACTAACTACTTTTTTTCTGGTCTTGATTATAATTCCAAAACAATTAATGATGGGTAAATTAGATATTTGACACACAAATTAGTTGTCAAATAGTTGTTTTCTTAATTTATGTGCATAGTCTAAAGTGACCTACATTTTGAAATGGAAGGAGTACATTATATATAAATCCTTTTGCTACCGTCCGTTAATTACTTTTGCTGGTTATATATTCTTCGGCCTCGTTTTTTCTTTTGGTAAAGATAACATTGTACAAAATGGCACACAATTTTGAGCATTTAATTTGGTCCTAAAATAAGTCATTTTGTATTGATGATAGTTAGTTTATCAGTGTGAAGTGTGAAGTAACTAACTAAAGAAGGGATGATAGTGGAGATTTAACATGGTAAAACAACGAGTAAGTTAATTGATGTGTTATAAATATGAACAGACGAGATAGTGTTATACATAACCAACATTAGCATTTTTCTCAATGTGTTTTGATAATTTGATTGTTTTAAAGTTTAGAGTTAAAAATGCAATAATTTAGCCAATATATTTATGAAAAATGCAATAATTTTTTTTCCCATAATTTAGAGTTAAAGTTTTCCTTCAAATTTTGGAGATTTTTTCCTGGGTTTTTTTTTTTTTTTTATATTTCGAAATTTGTATTTCCCATAAGGTGATTTTACGTGGGGAAAGTGAGTTGTCACTTGTCATACTAAACAAAGTTGTTAGGTAGGGCGCGTATTTTGACTACACACTGCGTCATTTGCGCCTTGCGGAAGCCAAATACAAAAAAACCCACAAATTCGTCGTATTTTTGTACTTTTATACTGATTGTATTTATCGTATTAATCATTGGGCGATAACCTTATATGGGAGTTTTGCCTGATTTGATGAGGGAAATAGGGTTATTGAAGCCGTATACGAATAAATTGGTCGATTTTTTGGAAACAAAACACGTTTACGTCACATTCTAATTCAATTGGCTTATAAGAGGAATCGGGAGAGAGCAAATCATAATTGATTTTGTGGATATTTCAACTTTTTTTAAATTTTTTCCTTTTCACCTTTTTGGGTTTTGTTTAAAGTCATTTTTGTGTTCTTTCCTTTTTAGCTGGCCAACGAGATAAAAGCAAGGTCAATAATTAAAAGTCAACAAATTTTTGACCCATAGTATATTCTGTGATGTTACGTTTTTGCAGAGTAGTGAAAATTCAAATATAAATTTTTTTTACTCTATCAAACATCTAGAATTTTAGTTTTCTTGGTTTGGGGAAAAAAAAGGTAATTGGAACAAAATCTTCACTATTTTTCAGCGGTTCGACTTCAACGTTTATAATACTGATTCGAAGATTCCATAGCTCATTTATGAGTGAGATAATTGCCTTAGATTTTACTAATTTTACTTTCTTTTCTCATTTAATTTTTTTGATGAACTTTCTAATTATTCACTCAACTATATCGATTGTGGAAAAAAAAAAAGAAAGTAAACGAGTAACATACATAATTTAAATTTTCAAATCACAAGTTCTTTTTTCTAATAAAGAGATTTCTTTTCCTTAGATATGACCCACCCTCCAATTTTCAATTCTGTAAAAGAAGGCACCTTATTGTACATGTCATGGGCATTTTGAACATGATTTTTTTTCAAACAATTTTTTAGATAATTTTACTAATAAATATTCTAAAGGCGAGACCAGTCGTTTATAACTAAATAAATGTACTTTTACGAGATTAAATTAAATTCTTGTTTCATTTGATTCAAAATAATTTTTATTTAAGTAATACAGATATAAATAATTATTTCAAGTCGTACAAATCAGCAAGTAGAGGAGGAGACTGCATGAGGACAAACCGTATCAGTATTTTACTACTACCATATTAGACTGTCTATATCATTACTTTATTATTTGAGAAATAAAAAAGTAAAGAAAATGATAATTTGTTATAAGAAGAAATTCGAAATGAGAAGTAATATTCTTAGCTAAAAGCCTAAAACCGCAGCCACGGACAAGTTAAGCACAAATACTTGCATACGATACGATGATGACCCTACATAGAGAGGTCAAGATATTCCCAGAACCGTCGAGTTTTGTGACGGTGAAACACACGCGCCGGGACCTGCTACTTTTTCTGTCCCCCACGATAATTTCATTATTATATGATGATTTATTAATTTGGATTTTTTTTGAATGGTCGAGAATAGCCCTCTGCTCTTTTCTCTAACACCGACAATCAGGAGTCAATTTTGGTAAAAAATAAAAGTATTTTTGTTTGTAAATATTCTTTGGTCTAAAAGGATAAGGTAAACAAATTAACTAAGTCCCAATTCCCGAACCCAAACCAAAGTCTATTTCGCATTTATGCAGTAGTATATGCCAAGGTTTTTTTATTTTTTTTTATTTTCTTATTTTAATGGATTTAGCTTTAATGACTGCGCTTTTGTGGCACTTAGTCTAGCTGTACTTTGATTAATTCTTTATAAAATGTCCTTCTTTTATAAGTCTAGAACATAGATTATGGTACAATGTTTGAATATTCCTTTCATAAAAGAAGTAAATGCCCTAGTCTCTTTGAACCATGACCTAATTTTGGGTCTAAATATGGATCACATATTCTATGAAAAATTGGATGTTACATTTGCACGGTATTCATTACCGTCTGTATTTATATTTTATATTAACGGATTAAAATGATGAGTAATTAGATGAAAAAAAAATCCATATCATAGCTATAGTTAGCCTCACATAATATAGTACAACACTTAACACTTAATAATGGCACCAAGAATTATATTCTCGATGTTATAAATGAATAGTAATGAATTGTATTGTTTATGTTTAATTTGACTAATCTGCTTATGTATTTACGATAAACTACTTCCACGTACATTCACTTCGTCGTGTGATTTGTTTAGGAGAAAATTAATCACACTGCTAAGAAGTCTTCAGTATTATAATTATTAAGGTCGCGTTGATCAATATAATTATATTAACGTGGAAACTGGGGACCGTGTGATCATGATTGTACTTTAATTTATCCTTTCAAAAATAAGGAAGTCATTTTTTTATTAAAAATGCAAACATTGTTTTTTAAAAAAGATTATAAACATAAACTGAGGAATAAAAGAAAATGAAATCTGACTTACTACTATCTATGCGATTTTTGTGTGTGTGTGTGTGTGTGTTTTTTAATTTTAATTTTTACCTTTTGAAGTCAACTTTGTGGTGGCAACTTTGATGGTTGGTACGTTTAAGTTGAAAACGTGGGACTTGGGATTTTTGGACACTGTCTAACTAATCCATCATGTCTAAACTACACCGACAGACATCTTTTCCAGTTTCCATATATGCTCAAAATACCCATCTGTCAGCTCGGAATTTGTATATTTTTTTTACCCCCTTTAATTAAAAAAAAAAAATTTGAAGAAGAAGGGGTGAAATTAGAAGATCAAAAATTATTTAGCGAAAAGAAAAAAAACTTGACGTAGCAATTAGCTTCCAGTATTATTTCGAGATTCTCTCTCTCTCTCTCTCTCTCTCTCTCTTGTTTTTTTACAGCAACTTAATTTGGACTTTGGAGAGCTCGGGTAAATTAAAAACCTAGTATAAAACAAAGTCCATTTTTTATTATTTTTTTTCCAGTTTATTATCTTTTATGGTTGATCACCAGATAGTTCCACCTCTTTACCCAAAGAAAACTATAGAAAAGAAGAAGAAGGTAGTATTTAATCATATCTTCAAAATCACGTGAAACAAGAAAAATCAGAACAACATACCAGCTTTAATAAATACTCCTAGTAGTAATATAAACAAAAAAAATTTATAAGTGAACCGTTTGAAAATTTAAAGCTCCAATTTGCCGGTTACAACTACTGCACTGGAATTCTGGAAACTTTTATTTCCTGCAGTGAAATTGAGGAGCTCTCAGGAATCATCATATCAGGATAAGGTATAAAATTAGAGTTAAATAAATAAAAATCTGACATTTCTAAATTCATTGTAACGGAAAAACAAATGTAGAATTAAATTTTAATAAGGCAACGGTGAGAAACGAATTTCGGTGCATTATAATTTGTGGAAAATATTATTCCCTCTATCCCAAAATTATTGTCCAGTTTGAGAT